TGTCTTTCCACCCTTCTGGTGTTAAGTGGTGAGTTAAGGAGTTACCTCAAGGTATATGAGGGGCATCAAGGGAGCCAAAGATTTCAAGAGCYAGAACCCCAGTTCAGCGAGGCCTCATGAAATCGACCTCAGGAGCCAGGGAAAGATTCAAATTCCAGGAACCTCAGCAAAATGAAATTCTTGGGTCTTCATTCTGGTGATGTGACTTCAACATGACACCACCTCTCTGCCCTTTTAAACTTCTTTCTGACACCWCCAGCTCATACATCTGTCCCTTTCTTTCCACCCAGCCTCCCAAGAGATCCCAAGATCTGACTAACGAACAGTTTTCTCCATGAGATTCCAAAGACCAGGTTCTGAATCCCCTGACCTTGAGCAGGGCATCCTCAACAAGGGTAGAGAATGGCAGGGGAGGGGTCTTATGGCCACAGTGGATAGAGATACTGARTATAGCAGTTTCTTTTAGGTGTGGCAGGGCAGGCAGCCTGATTGACATGTCAGCTTGCAAGAGGGCCAATTCTGCCTCCAGAGTGGCTTCCAAGGAGCTTGGGACACCTTTGTAACTTCCCAACAGAAACACACTCAATTGCAGCTCTTAGATCCAAGATCTGTGAGGTCAAGTATGGCTAAGTGACTTGAAATCCCACAATCCCATGCTGTTGGGGCCCAAACCTACCCTACACCAATTCAGCGAAGCCTGAGACTRCATGCCAAGTCATATGCACTGTTCTTTATTATCACATGTTGCCCATGGCGAGGTGGGGGGAGGGAATGGGGAGGGATCCCTCTGGCACAGAAGTAGAAGAAAGGAGGAAGGGGGAACCATTTATTTTCTGCACTCTGCCCTTCCTCCCAGCTGACAGTGGTAGGGGTTTGGTCACCAGCTTTGGGCTAAGGAAGCGGAACCCCTTAGATACAAGCACAGTGTTGTGTGAGAAGGTTGGGTACTGTCTCGTACTTRAAAGAGTAACCTCCATCTGAGGTGGTACGGACGTGCAGGGGCCTCATGGTTCCTGGGAGGGCAGCGCAGCAAGGCTGGGCCCCTGGCACCAAAGAAAGGGGCTGGACAGGGGTAGGGGGAACCCCAGGGACTGGCAGGGGGAGGTCTGGCGGAGTGGGCAGTCCACAGCCACCATGACAGTAGTGAAAGATGAAGCTGGGAGGRTGCACGATCCACCGGTCCCAGCCCAGCTCCTGGAAGGAGATGTTGAGTGCAGCTCTGTGGCAGTAGGCATGGGCAGCAGGTTCCTCTGGAGGCCTCTGTAACAGGCGCAGAGCTGCAGGAGACCAAGGCCAGGGCATTGGGGGAGTGGATCGCCGAGCTCTCTCCCCTCCACTAGGTGGTCTGGCCCGAGTATGGGCCACCAGGAAAGGTGTGGTCTCTGGCCGGGCTGAGCAGGAACAGAGAGGACATCGCAGCAGTAACACCAGGACAGGGTGAGTCAGCAGAGGGAGAGCAGAGGTGTCCAGATGCAATACGGCCCAGCGAGAGGGTGCCTGGCCCAAGGACATGGGCACAGCCGTGGGTCCCCCAGACGACAGTACCAGCAGGCTTAGCAGGGGCCCAGAGCTATTGGAGACCACTGTGTCCTTCTTGTCTAACCCCGTATGGAACCACAGCTGGGCCGAAGTCACCTGTCGGCTGCGTGTGTGGTGGGAWGGCCGGAACACATACGTGAAGACACCTTCCTCAGCCTCCTGGACCAGCCCTCCAACAGCTGGCTGGTCCTCACAGCTGGCACCTGCAAGGGACAGTAGAAAAGAGAGAGGGCAGCCCTGACCAGCAAGACCTGGAACCCTTCTCCCCCCGCCTCATCAGGAGAGATGTGGCCGCCATTCACCAGTGGTAATGTTATGCCATACACTCTGCTGAGGGCCCTCTCAGACCTGGGGCTTCTCCCAAGTCTTGGGAGAACTGAAATAGCCTCCCCATTTTTTCATTTAATTATTAAAGCATTTTAAAAATGTAAAACAGGGCTGGTACAGGGGCACAGTCCTGTAATACCAGCAACTCAGGAGACTGAGGCAAGAAGATTGCCCCGTTGAAGCCAGCCTCAGCAACTTAAGGACATCCCATCTCAAAACGAAAAAAAAAAATAATATATATATATATATACACATATATATATAATAAAAAGAGCTGGAGATGTAGCTCAGTGGTAAAGGGCCTCTGGGCTCAGAGATATTTCAGAAAAAGAAGGAAAACAATATTAGACTATATTAAACAACATTAGAACTAGAATTAGATTGAAATTACTTGGTTATATATAATAAATACACACATACATACACACCTTATAAATGTTTTAGAAAGCAAGAAAAAGGAAAGACCAAGCATAGAACCAAAATATGAGAATTTCAATCTAGTATGCCCCCTGACCATTGTGGATCATCCTCAGTGAAACAAAATTATATGACAGAAAGAAAAAAAATACAATATAGGGGTTGAGTATAGAATTCAGTTGTAGAGTGCTTGCTTCACATGCATGAGGTCCTGAGTTTAATCCCCAGTACTGCAAAAAAAGAAAAAAAAATACACATACACACACAAAACATCACCAACTTCTCTTTGAGGTAGTTTTTCAATTAATATTCCACAGAGCAATGTGTAAGAGTTTCTGTCAGCTGGGTACAGTGGCACACACATGCAATTCCAGCATTTCAAGGGGCTGATCCAGGAGGATCCCAAGTTCGAGGCCAGCCCGAGCAACTTAACAAGACCCTGCCTCAAAATAAAAAGGACTGGGATCTGGAGAAGTAACTCAATGATAAAGTGCCCCTGAATTCAATCCCCAGTATCAAAAAAGAAAAGAAAAGTTGGGCTGGGGATGTGGCTCAAGCGGTAACACATTCGCCTGGCATGCACGGGGCGCTGGGTTCGATCCTCAGCACCACATAAAAATAAAATAAAGATGTTGTGTCCACCGAAAACTGAAAAATAAATATTAAAAAAAAGAAAAGTCCCTATCACTCTCTACCTTCACCAATATTTAGAATTGTTAGACTTTGTTATATTACTCTTTATAACTCTGGGAGTGTCAGAAGCATTATATGAAAAGTTTTTAAAAATAATTCCATTTTTAAAAGATTAATACACACACACACACACACACACATATAACAGGAAGAAAGGAAAGAAAAAGAAGAGGAGGAGGACTAGGGATGTAACAGAATAGAGGGCTGTCCTTCCCAAGAAAGAGCAGCTGGCATCTTTGCCCCCACATACATTGATGGTAGTAAATAATCACGGGCCAGCCCCAGGCAGTTGGGGCTATACTATTACACAGCTTCTTTCATTATAAATTCATAAAAATTGATCCATTTTGCAGATAAGAAACTGAGGCTTAGAGAGATGAAGTGATTTTTCAACMTCTAAATGGCCATACTGGAATTCTGCCTGATTCTAAAGTCATACTTTTCTCCAGTATGCTGCAGGTGGGCTGAAGCCAGGGAGGCAGAGGGTCCTCCGTGAGAAAGTTGGGCCAGATGAGGTGAAAGCACACCCAGAGGAGGGCTTTATTCATTCAGTCAGTAGAATGAGGGGAAACACAAATGGAAGTGAGACAGGAACTCAAGAGAAGGTAGACTAGCTTCCCAACTAATCAATCCTCCTGCCTCCCTGATATCTCTCTTCAAGTCTCAGCTACCTGGAGCTGAAGAAACAAGGCTTGGGCAGGGAGCAGAGGCAGAGTTAAGAGAAAAGATAGCAGGAAGAGCCCAAGCCCAGAGAGCTCTGCCTCTAGATGCCTCCCATGTTCCAGTCACTCTATAAGCTCACCAGCTCACTCAACCCTAAGAGTGGGCATTATTGAGGAGACAGAGGCTCAGGGGACTTTAGTAATTGACCCACTGATGCTAAGCCAGCTGAGTGGCAGGGCTGGGATTCAAACCCAGGTCATCCTGCTCCCAAGCCCATGCAGTACCAGGTGCYTCTCAAAGTCACCTTGCTGGTTCCCCACCCTTGTTACCTGTGGCTGGAAAAAGGATGGCCTGGGAGACATCCTCCTCCTCCGGCTCAGAGCCCCTGCGTGTGRAGCCCCCCACAGCGTGTCTTCTGGGCAGCCGCCTGATTCCAGGACTCCCACCTTCCCCCATCACTGCTGGGGGCCCCAAGGCATCCAAGAACAGGGCCCTCACCTTGGCCAGGACAAGTTCCCTGTCCAGCTCCAGCCCATGGCAGCCCTGCCCACCCTGCGGGGCTAACAGCAAGAGCAGCAGCAGGGGCAGCTGAGGTACCATAGCTCACCTGGCCCTGCCAACGGGGAACCCACACCCTGCCCTGTGTCCTCTCTATCAGGGTCTGCCCAAGGCCTCTGCAACCTCCTCTCCCCATCCCACCACCTGCCCTCTTCTATCCTTCTCACCCCTCTTCCCCAGCCCTTCCCACGCCCTGCAGCCCAAGTCACCCCTGCCCATGGCATTGAGACCTCCTATCTCTGACGCAGAGGTCTGTGGCCCTGAGCCTTATCTCCCACTGGGGCCAAGAATGTGGGAGAGGGGGCTGGGGAGGATGTTCACCCTGAGTGACCTGACCCACACATACAAACCTCTTCCCCCTACACACACACACACACACACACACACACACACACACACTGTCTCACATCTCAGCACCCAGCACAGAGGTGACCTCAGGTGGGACAGAAGCAGCCTGAGAGCTGGGTTTGGCCAGTTTCTGAAAGTGTCTTTTGTCAGAAAGACAGAATGCATCAGCTTCTTTAGCCCCTTTGAGAGCCCTTCAACCAAGCAACTGCTGGGCTAGCCTAAGCGAAGGGTTGGGCTGCAACTAGAACTGGGGCTTGGGTGGGGGGCAGGTGGTCCAGCCTGCTCTATACTTAGCCTGGAGGAGCCARTCTGGGCCCTTGTCCTCCAGCTGTGTCATCAGAGAATATTTTTGGGATTGGCAGCTGCAGGCGCCTCTGCCACTCAGGCCCAAGCCTGGCGGGCAGTTGGGGACCTGGCGGCTGGAGGTGGGAGGGAGGAGGGGAAAGAGGCCCAGGGCGTGGGAGGGGGCTGGGAAGAGAGCAGGAAGCCAGGCCGCGGGCAGAGGAGGCTGCGGGGCCCCTCGCTGGAAAGGCAAACAGGAAGGACTGCCCCCTAAGCTCTGGGCTGCGGGCCGGGGAGTCTCCGCCGCGCGCCAGAGCTGCTGCTCCAGGCCGAGGGTAAGGAGGCGAGCCGGGAAGGGGTGGACTGGGGCGAGCTCCGCGGTTCCCCAACGCTCCAGCCTTCGGGACTCGCGCTGCTCTCCCGGCCTCGGCGCCACCGCCGTCCGCCCTTCCCCCGCGCCGCGGCGGGCCATCCGCAGCCACCGCGATGAAGGCAGGCTCAGGGGATCAGGGGAGTCCCCCGTGCTTCCTGCGCTTCCCGCGGCCCGTGCGGGTGGTAAGTGGCGCGGAGGCCGAGCTCAAATGCGTGGTCCTGGGGGAGCCGCCGCCCACTGTCGTGTGGGAGAAAGGCGGGCAGCARCTGGCGGCCTCGGAGCGCCTGAGCTTCCCGGCGGACGGCGCCGAGCATGGCCTGCTGCTGAGCGGCGCGCTGCCCACCGACGCCGGGGTCTACGTGTGCCGCGCTCGTAACGCGGTCGGAGAGGCCTACGCGGCGGCCGCGGTCACCGTACTGGAGCCGCCGGCCCCCGAGCCTGAGCCCCAACCCGCCGAGCACCCGCTGCCGCCTCCCAGAAGCGGGGAGGGCGCCCCCGTGTTCCTGACGGGACCCCGGTCCCAGTGGGTGCTGCGGGGGGAGGAGGTGGTGCTGACGTGCCAGGTGGGGGGCATCCCCGAACCCACGCTGTACTGGGAGAAGGATGGGATGGCCCTGGATGAGGTGTGGGACAGCAGTCACTTCGTGCTGGAGCCCGGCCGCGCCGCGGGTGGCCCGGGGACGAGCCTGGCGCTGCGCATCCTGGCGGCCCGTCTGCCAGACTCGGGCGTCTACGTGTGCCACGCCCGCAACGCGCACGGCCACGCGCAGGCCGGCGCGCTGCTCCAGGTGCACCAGCCCCCCGAGAGCCCGCCGGAGGACCCCGAAGAGGCCCCCGCTCCGGTGGTGGAGCCTCTCAAGTGCGCGCCCAAGACCTTCTGGGTGAACGAGGGCAAGCACGCCAAGTTCCGCTGCTACGTGATGGGCAAGCCTGAGCCTGAGATCGAATGGCACTGGGAGGGCCGTCCCCTGCTTCCTGACCGCCGCCGCCTCATGTACCGCGATCGCGATGGCGGCTTTGTGCTCAAGGTGCTCTACTGCCAGGCCAAGGACCGCGGGCTCTATGTCTGCGCGGCGCGGAACTCTGCTGGCCAAACGCTCAGCGCTGTGCAGCTGCACGTCAAAGGTAGCGCCCTCTGAGCGTTCTGGGGCTGGGGAGGGGCCTCCATCACCCTCTGAGGTCCTCCTTACTCGTGCTCCCCTTGGTGCCCAAGTCTGGGCGACAGGCGGAAACATTAAATACCAGTTTCCTAACTGACTGCTTCAAACCCCTCAGAGATTTGATTTAGTAGGTTTCCAAGACACTCTGGAATTTCTTAGCCCATTCCAAGGCACTAAGAAATGGTTGATGCACAAACCGCGAGAACCCTAGATCTCTTCTCCAGTGGTTTCCAACCTTTGCTATCTTAGCCCTTCCTCAACTGGATTCCCATTTGTAACTCCAATATGTAAGACAGATATAAGGARCATTTTTATCTGTCTAATCGAATAAGGCTAGGTCTAAACTTACAAGGTTAATCAGTGAGAACAAGGGACTGCAGTATTGAGTGCACACATTTGGAGTGGAGGCTGGATGCATAGTGGGTCTAATCTCTGAACCTGTGGGGAAGGCCCTGATGCTGACATCAAGTAGAGAAACTATTCATTCACTATTCATTCCCATAATTTTTGGCTATTCTTTCATTAAACTGCTCTTTTAAGTTTGAAAAAAGAGGAAGGTGAAGGAGAGAAAATTTGTTTTTCAAACTTGAATCACCAATAATATCTAATRAATGCTTACCTTATTCACAAACAGAAAATTCATACAAAACAAAAACACACCCCATGCTCACACTGGAAGTTAAAGTTCTCTATAATAGGATTTCATCACAACATGAGGGGTTATACCTTCACTGGTTATTACTCAACTTTCTGCTGGGAAAAAAAAAATGTTGACAAATTCTTCCAAGCCCTGCCTGGCACTCACTCAAGCGTGTGGCACCTGGGCTGTAGCAGTGGTCTCACTGGTACAGCTTTATGTGCAAGAACTTGCCAGGCCAGTGCTGAATTGGAATTTCATCAAGAAAGAAAAGCCCAGAGGGAAGGCAAGAGGAACTTCCCAGAGTGCCATAAAAACCAGCTTCTCCAGCAACCCAAGTTAACCCGCTGGTATTTTCCAGCATCATATGTCTTTTTATMTTTTCTCTTTCCTAACTTTTCTTTCTTTCTTTTTACTATATTTTTGAAAATGGTTAGAATACCTTAATAATGAAATTCGACTCRGACCCTGGCAGAATTTGTGAGGTGCCTCTGAGAAGCCTAAGGGATCAGTTTGAAAATCACTGACCTGAGATCTAACTTCTCCCCTTGCTTTTCTCACTTTACAAATAAGGGAACTGAGGCACAGGTCTTGCTCAAGGTGATGTGGCTAGCAAGTGTCAGGGTCAGATGAGAAGGCCATCGTTTGACCTCCCTTCTTATAATTTATGATTTTATGATTCCATRTGCCTGCTGTCTCTGGGGAAAGAGCAAAGAACGAGATCTCATGTATGTTCAGGAGCCCGCTTCCCGGGCTGGCCTCTCTCCAGAGCCTTCTCTTGTCTCTCCCCTCTCCGCAGAGCCCCGCCTCCGCTTCACGAGGCCCCTGCAGGATGTGGAGGGCCGGGAGCATGGGATTGCCGTGCTGGAGTGTAAAGTGCCCAACTCCCGCATTCCCACAGCCTGGTTCCGAGAGGACCAGCGGCTGCTGCCCTGCCGCAAGTATGAACAGATTGAAGAGGGCACCGTCAGGCGCCTCATCATCCACAGGCTGAAGGCAGATGATGATGGTGTCTACCTGTGCGAGATGAGAGGCCGGGTGCGCACAGTGGCCAATGTCACAGTTAAAGGTCAGCTGGCCAGTGGGAAGAGGCTGAGGCTGAGGCTGTGGCCGGCAGGTGCCTAGCCCTGGGCTGATGGCTTGCCGTGCACATCTCAGGGCCCATACTGAAGAGGCTGCCCCGGAAGCTTGATGTGCTGGAGGGAGAGAACGCCGTGCTGCTGGTGGAGACGCGAGAGGCYGGGGTTGAGGGGCGCTGGAGCCGTGATGGGGAGGAGCTGCCAGCCACCTGCCAGAGCAGTTCTGGTCACATGCACGCCCTGGTCCTTCCAGGGGTCACCCGAGAAGAAGCTGGCGAGGTCACCTTCAGCCTAGGCAACTCCCGTACCACCACTCTGCTCAGAGTCAAATGTGAGGACATGAAGGCCTCTGCCCAGGAAGGCCAGGGTGGGAGGGTGACCAGACACCAGAGCCTGGGTCAGCAAAGTATATTCAAAGACGGAGGGCTGTGGGAGGCTTGAGCAAGATTGAGTGCAAACCCTGCCCTTGTCTCAGGTGTCAAGCACAATCCTCCAGGACCTCCGGTGCTGGCTGAGATGTTCAAGGGCCACAAGAACACGGTCCTACTGACCTGGAAGCCTCCTGAGCCACCTCCTGAGACCCCCTTTATCTACCGCCTGGAGCGGCAGGAGGTGGGCTCTGAAGACTGGATCCARTGCTTCAGCATTGAGAAAGCTGGAGCCGTGGAGGTGCCAGGCGACTGTGTGCCCTCGGAGGGTGACTACCGTTTCCGCGTCTGCACAGTTAGCGAACATGGCCGCAGTCCCCACGTCGTGTTCCATGGTTCTGCTCACCTTGGTGAGTCATCCTGCTAGACCCTGCCTGTTAGTGGCTGTACCCCAAGTCATGTCCTCCCATCACCCCTTCGCTCTCTCCCAGCCCTCAGTCCCTGTCCTCAGGGACTGCCAGYCCAGCCCTCTGCTTTCTGGTTTCTTCACTCTGTCCCCTTCTGGTTCTGATGGTCATACTCTGTCCTACCTCAGTGCCCACAGCTCGCCTGGTGGCAGGTCTGGAGGATGTGCAGGTATACGATGGGGAAGATGCTGTCTTCTCCCTTGATCTGTCCACCATCATCCAGGGGACCTGGTTCCTTAATGGGGAAGAACTCAAGGTTAACAAGCCAGAGGGCCAGGTGGAGCCTGGGGCCCTGAGGTACCGAATGGAACAGAAGGGTCTGCAGCACAGACTCATCCTGCAAGCCGTCAAGCACGAGGACAGTGGGGCCCTGGTTGGCTTCAGCTGCCCTGGTGTACAGGACTCAGCTGCCCTCACCATCCAAGGTTGGTGCTGGCGGGGCCCCCCAAAGGGCAGACAGGGTCAAGACACGGAAGTCCTGTTGGCCAAATACAGCAAATACTGTTCCCCTTTCTCACAGGCTAAGAAGCTCATATTGAGAGGTCAGAGGCCAATAGGCCAATTTCAACCTGTGTGCAACATACAGGGCATTCATTTTCTCTATAGCATCACATCCCAATTCTCCAGAGTGTTTTATGCTTTATAGAAATCTGTCAGTTTTGTCATATCATTTGGAAGGCATGGACCCTGACCTTTAGTTCCTGACTGCTTCCTGCTCCATCATAGCAGTCTCCCTATGTGCCAGGGCCAGTCCGAATCCCTTGACATTAATTAACACTATCCTCTTAACAACCCTATGAGATAGTCTCTTTTGTCATCCCCATTTTATAAGTGAGACAGCTGAAGCACAGAGARGTTAAATAACTTGTTCAGCATCACAGAGCTACTGAATGGTGGTGTTGGATTATGAACCCAAGTAGTTTGGCTCTAGAATCCCCCTATGCCCCCTGTTGAGACAGGGAAGGAGAGAGGATGAGGCATCCCTGAGGAGGACAGTTAGAGTAGAGTGACTGAGAATTCAAGGAACACTCTAGTGTTTGCCATCTCACCATTACTGGAGTTTGTTAGACCAATCAAGAAATGAGCAGTGCCCAAGTTTGGGCCTCAAGAGGGCCAGCTACCAGCCAGCAAGCTGAGAGCAGGGGAGAAATGAACAGCAGCCAGGATCCAGCACCTCAGAATCGCCTGGAGGGCTGGTTGATAATGCAGACTCCCTGGCCCCTGCAAACTCAGACTTCTAGAATCTGCCTTTGGGGCAGGCTCTCTAGGAATCCTCAAATCACTGCTCTAAAGAGTGAGTATATCAGCCTTTGGTAGTTGGTTTTCTGTTGCCCTAATAGAACCAGATGCTGGCTACTTTAGAAAGAAAAGAGCTTTGCTTCACTGACCATTTTGAAGGCAGAAAGATTGGGCGGCATCATCTCCTTAGTCTCTGGGGAGAGCCCTCTTGACTGAGTCACGAGATGGCAGTGTGTGGAGGATGACAAGTGAATAGATGGCCTTGCTTTGTAACAAGCCACTCGCAAGACCTAACTGGGGTCATGTGAGAACAACATTGATCTCTTCCAAGGATGATGCTCCCAGTGACCTAATTTCCTCTCGATAGGCTCTATCTCTGTAAAGTCCCAGTGCCACCAAGCTGCCATGAACCTTTGGGTCTCCCATTCAAATCATATCCATTTAAATCATAACCACACAAAAATTCAAACTTATATTTTTAAACCCCAATAAATACACAAATGGCAGCTCTCCTCCCAGATGTTCATGCGCACAGTGAGAGGGATGCTGATCTGAGGCACAGCTTGCTGAGGAAACTGAGTGTGGCTATTTGTCCCCATGCAGAGAGCCCAGTGCACATCCTGAGCCCCCAAGACAAGGTGTCACTGACCTTCACGACCTCGGAGCGGGTGGTGCTGACCTGTGAGCTCTCGAGAGTAGACTTCCCAGCAACCTGGTACAAAGATGGGCAGAAAGTGGAGGAGAGCGAGTCGCTGGTGGTGAAGATGGATGGGCGCAGACACCGTCTAATCCTGCCTGAGGCTGAAGTCCGAGACAGCGGCGAGTTTGAATGCAGAACAGAAGGGGTCTCAGCCTTCTTCAGTGTCACTGTCCAAGGTCAGAAACCTACTGGCCTGGGCTCCTCCAGCTGAGGCCAATTCTGGGGCAGGGCAAGCCTTTCCCCCTGGTCTGTCCGCTTGGGGTTCCCTTAGAAGCAGGGCTTAGTGGCCAGGGTGCATATTTTAGATCAGCTGCACTTGCTTCTTTACCCTCTCATCACCTTCTAGCACACTTGACCCCCACATACCCTCTGCTGGATGAGGCGAAAGAACCAAATGCAATTAAGAGTAAAAAGATGGGAGGTAACATTTACTGGGCATCTCACTCTGAGCCTAGTGCCATGGTAGGACTTCAAATATTTACTGTTTGGTTCAATTTTTCACATCTAGATGAGGGGTAATACAATTCCAGTTCACATAAAGGGGCTGAGGCTCAAAGAGGTGATGTGGTTTACCCCATATGTAGCCAGCAAACACCATACACCACACCCAGGACTAGCCTCTGCTTACTACTCCAGGTGGTCAGATCATACAGAAGTGTCGAGTGCCTGGTCCAGTGGTTCTCACCAGACAATCCATGGTCCAACCGCTTCAGGAGCACCCTGGAGGCTTATTATAAATGCACATGTCCAGGCCTCCTGGGCTCTCCAGAGCAAGAACATCCAGGACCTGGGGTCCTCTGTTAACCAAGCCAGCTCTCAKGGAGGGCAGTATGGGAGCACTCGTCCTGCTCATCCTCCCCGCCAACGGGAAATACTGTTCTCAACACCATTGCCAGGAGATCCTGTGGCCCCTGCCTGAGTGCCCCCCCATGGCAGGGAACTCACTACTGTTAGCCTTTTGTCACTATAACAAATAATTATAATTATTAACTTAATTAACTTACAAAGAGAAAAGGTTTATTTTGGTTCACGTTGGTGGAGGTTCCAGTCCAAGATCAGGGACCCATTACTTTGAGCCTCAGCTAGAAGTGCTAGTGACAGTGGCCAACTGCTCACCTCATGGCCAGAAAGCAAAGGAAAGGAAGAGGCTGGGGTTCCACAGGCCCCTTGAAGGGCATGCCCTCAATGACCTCCTGCTTGGCACCTCCTCCTATAGGTCCACAGCATCTCCAAAAGTGCCACCCTGGGACCAAGTCTTTGCACATGGAACTTTGAAGRCACAACCATATCAAACATAGTACTACCCATATGAGCAGCTAGTTCCCACCAGTTAAGCCACTCTCCTCCTCTTGCCCCTCCTGGGGACTTTATTGTGAAGGAAGTAGCAAGCTCAGCCAGTGTGGCTTGTGACAATGACCTCCCTCCTGCCTAGACAAATGTGGATACCACTGTGTGAACTCTATGCTTTTTTTCCTCCATGTCCCCACCCAGCTACCTCTGATCCTCTGGGAACCAAAAGATCTCTCAAGGGCCATATGATCTTTGTCATGGCCTCGCCTGCCATGCTATCAAGAATCCATATCATTGTCCCTGAAACTCCTACACAGTAGCTTTAAGCACTTCTCAATGTCTTTGCATGCAGAGACAGTACCTCCTGACATGAGACCAGTTTGGACTCCTGTCTCCTATGTGTGTGTGTGTGTGTGATCCATCTCTTTTCCCCACCCCAGATCCCCCAGTGCATATCGTGGACCCCCAAGAGCATGTGTTTGTACATGCCATAACCTCTGAGTGTGTCATGCTGACCTGTGAGGTGGACCGAGAGGACGCCCCCGTGCGCTGGTACAAGGATGGGCAGGAGGTGGAGGAGAGTGACTTCGTGGTACTGGAGAATGAGGGACCCCATCATCGCCTGGTGCTGCCTGCCGCCCAGCCCCCTGACGGGGGCGAGTTTCAGTGTGTCGCTGGAGAGGAGCGTGCTTACTTCACTGTCACCATCACAGGTGGGGGACCAGCAGCAGCAGCAGCTGTCATACTCCTGTATCTTGCTGATCAGACTCCCTCCCGTTCTCCACCAGGGCCTAGCCATAGTCTGGAAGTGTGTTGTCACGATCACATTGGTCCTGGCTACCTGTCACCAGGAAAGCCCTGCCTTCTCCATTGTCCTGGAGACCCCACCAAGGGGAATCTTTGGGGACAGTAACTATACTGCAGGGCCAGGGGTCTCAGGAACAAGAAGGTCAAAAGATCCCAGAGCCCTGCAGGTGACCCCAGCTCTACCTGGAGGCCCGACCCTCCTCTCCCCCATTCCACCCTTCATACAGCCCTGTCCCAACCCAGGAATACGGAGTTTGTACACCAAAGCCTGGAATGTTTTGGTAACTGCACTTTTGTCCCCCTGACCATGACAGCTATCTTTGGGGGACCATGTGTCTCTAGCTGCTTACAGCTAAAAGTCCTTCTTGTTCAACACATGGTCTGCTTTCCAGGACATAGGGAAGAGGCTTGGATCAGGGAGGGCAGCAGGCACAGCTGCCCCAGCCCCTCATGCACATTGGTGGCTGTCCCTGTTCCCCAGATGTCTCCTCATGGATTGTGTACCCCAGCGGCAAAGTGTATGTAGCAGCTGTGCGCCTGGAGCGCGTGGTACTGACCTGTGAGCTGTGCCGGCCCTGGGCTGAGGTGCGCTGGACCAAGGATGGTGAGGAGGTGGTAGAGAGCCCAGCGCTGCTTCTGCAGAAGGAGGACACTGTCCGCCGCCTGGTGCTACCTGCTGTCCAGCTTGAGGACTCCGGCGAGTACTTGTGTGAAATTGATGACGAATCTGCCTCCTTCACTGTCACAGTCACAGGTGTGGGTCCACCCCAACTCCCCAGAGTGACCAGAGAACAGTCCTGACCCATGGGGGAAATGGCTGAATGTCCTGTTGCTTGTGTGCACATGGGAGGAGGAAGGCCTGGGCGCGGGTGCATGCACCAGGGTCCCTGCAGGGAAGAGCCCAGGATGCCCCATTCCAGTGAACAGGCCCTTCCCCAGTACAAGGCCAGGACTAGTTGTATTCCACCAGCTCATTGATTAAGCACTGTCTCTGGRCCAGGTGCCAGGAGTAATTGGTGAGTGATACAGATACAGTCCCTGTCCTTGGGGAGCTGCCAGTCTAGCTGGGGAGGCAGCTGTTAACCAGGGGTCGCAAACGGGCAGTCCCTGGGACCCTGGGCAGCCCACAGGTGTGTTTTGTTTGGCCTGCAGAGTCTTACCAAAGTCAGGACAGTTCAAATAACAATCCGGAGTTATGCGTCCTCTTGAAAAGGCCGAAGACCCGGCGGCTCTGGTCCCGCTTCCCCCCTTGGCGACGATCTGCTGGTGCTGAATAGCCCCATAGTACCGGGGCCCCCATTCCTCTGCCCACCCTCCCTGCCATTCCTTTTTGCCTCTCCCCAGACCGCTTCAGCCCCTGACCTAAGGTTCCTGGCCCTTGTGGGCATTTGCATTTGCGACCCCTGTGTTAAACCAATAAACACGCAAATAAACATACAGCGACACCTTGTGATAAGTGCGGTGAGGGAAGAGGGCTTGAGAGCAGAGAGGAGAGGCAAGGAGGGCCTTGGAGGAAGTCGCCACTCCACACATAGGGCCAGTCCTGGGCTGGGCTCCCAACATTTAGCACCTCTTAGAAAACTGAGTCTGACCTCCTGGCATGCACAGCCTGGCAGGAAAGCCAGACATGTCAGAGAGCGGGTAGCCCAGGGTCGCCATAGGAATCCCAAGGTTACAAGCTACTCGCCCGGTAAGGGCAGCAAGCAGGGTCTTTAGAACTGATAGGAGAGTTGAGTGGGGATGGGGGTGGGCAGAGAACAATCTAGACAAGAAAAACACAGGATAACTGTGGAAGTCATACTGGTTCCATGCAGGAGACTTTGGGCTGCAGCTCACAGCGCCAATTCCAGTGTGCATGTGTGGAGGGTGGTGATGTTTAGGAAGCTGTAGGTGACAGAAGATGGCTGCCCTGGAGAGACCATCCCACTGCTGGTACTGTCCTGTTCCCCTGTCCCTTGCCATGTCCTAGGAGCCATGCCTAGCCCAGCTGAGCTGCTTAGGGCGCCCCGCTCCCTGCACCCCAGTCAGCTGAGCATGGCACACCAAGCCCACAGTGCCAGTGAGGCCTTGTGCAGGCGTTCTAGCCTATGTCCATTCACTTTCACTCTCTCCTTTCCCCGGCCCTGGCCAAATATAATGGCCACAGCCACCCTAATTTCAGCCTGCACTTGGGCTTCCCACAAAACACCAGGCTATTCACACAAACACCACCTCAGCTCCAGGCCAAAGTGAATCAAGTCGCACACCAAGTTCAAGTCCCAGGGCTGTTCAGGTCTCATTACTGCACCCCGCCCTTACAACCACTGCCCCCATCACGTCCTGCACCCCACAGGCAGCCACCCTCTGCTATCTACTGGCCTCCATGGGCCCCGGACAACCAGCCTGCATCCTCCAGTCTCTGTAAGCAAGCCCACGTAGGAAGGTGGGTTGCCTGAGCTCCAGCCAGCAGTCCCTATGGAGGCCGAGGGCTGGTCCGCGCTTTGGATACGACTGCCCATGCGCACACCACGCCCGGAAGCTAGCAGTTCCCCACCCCTGCCACAAGGGGGCAAAAGGCACTAAAATCATGCMGACTTGAAGATCCTGAGGGAACAAGGGCGCTAAGGGATGTGAATAGGCTTCGTCTCATTGCACTGGTCACTTCCAATAGTGAAATGGCTTCCTTTCAGTGGAGGAGTCACCAGCACTTGGAGATGAGCTCTCAGGATTAGCACGTAGCAACCCTGAGAACTCTTAGGTGTTGGCAACTATCATGCACAAATGCAAAAAGTGTTACTTAGTTCCTTCAAGCCCAGGTGTGGAATCCCCATAGCTGCCTGCAGAGTGTGTGCCTCCCTTGAACAAATGGTGCTTCTTCCTTATGCCTTTGAGTACCTGTAACCAGCTATGAGTTTAAGAAAATTGCTTTATCACTCTGCACCTTAGTTCCCTCATCTGGGAAATGGAAACCTCACGCTGTGAGGTTTAAAGTGTAATGTGCTAAGGACTGTTCCTGGAATCTTAGGAGGTAGTATAAAAGTGTTTGTATTTCAGATCCACCACCTCTTATTCAAAATTCTAAAAAAAAAAAAAAAAAAAAAAAAAAAATTAAAAAAACTCTTAAAAACTAAAGGCTTTCTGTAAGTTTGGTATGCAAACTCATTTCAGTGAATCCTGAATTTAATTGCTGTGAATCCATTTATACTCTTTAATTATCCATTAGAGTAAGTGTATTTGTATATTTGCATTTATAAGATATGAATATATCTTTTCATATATCCTACTGAAGGTGAATACATGTTACATTGCAGAAATGTTGATGTGGTTGGTTATGGGGAGAGGCCCCCAGCAGAGGCTGAGGATATGTGGTATATGAGAAATACACCATTTCTAAAATCCAAATCCTTATGAATTCTGGAACTTCTCTGGTGCCAGAGATTACAAGAGCAGATCCTGGACCTATTGTTTTTTATTATTCTACTCATTATTCTTATTATCATATGGGCAAGAGGGCTTCATGCTGCCAGATACCTCCAGGGAGGCCGACAGCCTGTGGTTGCCCCACTTTGCAGAACCCCCCGTGAGGATCATATACCCTCGGGATGAGGTGACCTTGATCGCCGTGAGCTTGGAGTGTGTGGTGCTGATGTGTGAGCTGTCTCGAGAGGACRCCCCAGTGCGCTGGTACAAGGATGGCCTGGAGGTGGAGGAGAGCGAGGCCTTGGTTCTGGAGAGTGATGGCCGCTACCGCCGCCTGGTGCTGCCCGCTGCCCAGCCTGCGGACGGAGGCGAGTTTGTGTGCGATGTTGGAGATGACTCAGCCTTCTTCACGGTCACTGTCACAGGTGAGCAGATTCTGGGGCACCCAGGGCAGTAGGAACTAAGGGATAGATACACTCAACTATCCTGAATTCTTGTATCTTAGGGACTCCCCAGCCTCCTCATTCTCAGAGCCCTGCTCTCCAAAGTCAAGTTGAGAAGGGACTGCAGGTGTGGTGAAAGGAATCCCAGCAGTTAGAACCATTCATTCATTCATTCAKTCAGTCAATAAATATTTACTGAGTGGCTACTATGTGCTTGGCACTGTTCTAGGTGCTGAACCAATGAGACAAAACCTCCTATCTTACATTCTAGTGAGGGCACACAAACAGGTGGTGCTAAATATACCAGAGGCAAAGTAGGGGAAGGAGAGGGAAGTGAGGGGGGAAGAAGGAGGGGGTATGTTGAGGTTGGTTCTGGGTGTGGATCCATCTACATCTTCTGTCTGTGGGACACTGGACAAGTCACTTTCCTCTGTGGAGACCTCAGATCCTCATCTATACAGTGCAGTGGTCCAGAGTAGCTAAGGAATGAGCTGCAGGTGCTCAGCACAGTGTCTGGCACACAGCAAGTGCCCCCTGGGTTGTGCTGCAAGTGGAGAGGGCTTATTTTCTGGTGGGCAAGGCAGGGAGAAGCCCACTGGCTGAACCCCATGCCCCTACCTCTGCTCACCCACCAGCCCCACCAGAGAGGATCGTGCATCCAGCAGCCCGTTCTCTGGATCTGCAGTTTGGAGCTCCAGGGCGCGTGGAGCTRCGCTGTGAGGTGGCCCCTGCGGGGTCCCAGGTGCGCTGGTACAAGGACGGCCTGGAGGTGGAAGTCTCAGATGCCCTGCAGCTGGGTGCTGAGGGGCCTGCCCGCATCCTCACCCTGCCCCATGCCCAGCCTGAGGATGCCGGGGAGTATGTGTGTGAGACCCGCGATGAGGCCGTCACCTTCAACGTCAGCCTCGCTGGTGGGTGCTCCCAGCCATCCTGGGGCAGGGAGGAGAGGCGGACGGGGGCTCATCCGCTTCTCTCTTTGTGCAGAGCTTCCTGTGCAGTTCCTTGCTCCAGAGGCAGYCCCCAGCCCACTCTGTGTGGCCCCTGGGGAGCCAGTGCTGCTGAGTTGCGAGCTGTCCCGGGCTAGCGCCCCTGTGTTCTGGAGCCACAACGGGAGGCCTGTGCAGGAGGGCCAGGGCCTAGAGCTCCAAGCSGAGGGTCCCCGCCGTGTCCTCTGCATCCGGGCTGCAGACCTAACCCATGCAGGTGTCTACACCTGCCAGACCGGGACTGCCCCAGAGGCCCCAAGCCTCAGCTTCACCGTCCAGGTGGCTGGTGAGTGGAACGTGGGCAAAAAACCTGAGTAGCAAGCATCCCAAAATGCATGGGCCTCCTGCTCTGCTAGCACCCCTCGTCCACCCCGTGCCCACCCGTTGCTCCTTTCCCATCATGCCTCCCTCTCCCCTTCTTACTGCCCTAGAGCCTCTCCTTCCCGGTGACCCCCAGCTCTGACCCCACAGAGCCCCCTGTGCGGGTGGTGACCCCTGAGGCGGCCCAGACGAGGGTTCGAAGCACCCCAGGCGGGGACCTGGAGCTGGTGGTGCACCTCTCCGGGCCGGGGGGCCCTGCGCGTTGGTACAAGGACGGGGAGCGACTGGCGAGCCAGGGGCGGGTACAGCTGGAGCAGGCCGGGGCCAGGCAGGTGCTGCGGGTGCGGGGGGCACGGAGCGGGGACGCTGGGGAATACCTGTGCGACGTACCCCAGGACAGCCGCATCTTCCTCGTCAGCGTGGAAGGTAACAGTGTACCCCTCACGCTTTTTGGCCCTGGCAACCCAAGGACCACTTCCTGTTATTTTGGACCCTTTTCATGTCCCACCCCACCTCGAGGCCTCTGCGCCCACCAGTGTGTGCGTGACCGTTAGCTTGGAGAGGACACAGGGCTCCCTGGTGGCCAAGAGCAGCGGCTCTGGAGTCAACCCACCTCTGCTCCCCCATTGTGTTGAGCCAAGTAGCTCAACCTCTCTGAGCCCCAGCTCTTCAACTAGGGGGAGTGCTTGTCCTCTAGGGTTGCTGTGACAGTTAATGCTATCAATACGATCCATGGTAGGTGATTTATTATTACTCTAGAGTGGGGGCAGGCACCAGGCTGGGATTGAGAGGACCTGGCTAAAAGGAGTGAGTGGTAGGGAGCTGACGCCTGCCCTCTGGGCCAACCCTGACCAACACAATAGGTCCTCAGCAAAGATGTGCTGACTAGTGGGGAGGGGAGGCAGGGGTGAAAGGAGAGGAGGGGAAACCCCAGCCAGCTCACTGCCCCACCGCCCTCCAGAGCCACCTCCAGTGAAGCTTCTCTCTGAGCTGACGCCATTAACGGTCCACGAGGGCGACGACGCCACGTTCCAGTGCGAAGTCTCACCGCCAGATGCAGAAGTCACCTGGCTACGCAATGGGGCCGTCGTCACTCCAGGGCCCCAGCTGGAGATAGCCCGGAGCGGCTCAAGCCACTCCCTGACTGTGCGAGGCTGCAAGCTCGAGGACTCCGGGACAGTGACTGCACGGGCGGGGAGCACCGTCACAAGTGCCCGGCTGCATGTCCGAGGTTTGTGTCCCCCTGCCCTGGCCCCAGCAGCCTGCTGCTCCTGCCTGGGGAGGGACCCAGCGAGGCCCCAGCCTCGGGCCCCAGCTGCTCCATGGCCGCCCCTCTTCTGCCCCGCAGAGACGGAGCTGCTGTTCCTGCGGCGGCTGCAGGACGTGCGCGCCCAGGAAGGCCAGGACGTGTGCCTGGAGGTGGAGACCGGCCGGGTGGGCGCCGCGGGGGCCGTTCGCTGGCTGCGAGGCGGGGAGCCCCTCCCGCTCGACTCCCGCCTGGCCCTGGCCCAGGACGGCCACGTCCACCGCCTCTTCATCCACGGCGTCGTGCTCGCCGACCAGGGCACCTACGGCTGCGAGAGCCACCACGATCGCACCCTGGCCAGGCTCAGTGTGAGGCGTGAGTGCCCCGTCCTCTCCTAATGCATCACCCACCCCATGACGCTGCCTCTGCTGGCCGTCCTAGAGCCCCTGAGACCCCCACCAAAGTGCCCCTTGCCGCTGAGGAAAGTCGGCCCTGGCCATCCTAGTCCAGGGGTGCAAACTGAAGCAGCTTGCCCAAAGCAAAACTTCTTTTTTCTAACGTTTTCTATTTACCTCAGAAGCCCATATGGCTTTTGCATTCCATTTCATATACCCAAGGTGGCTTTGCTATACACATAAATATTATATTTCAAAAAGATTCTCTGTGTTTAACTTAGTCACATGCCCCAGGGACACACATGCCCATTTAAGAACCTGGGGTGGCTGACAAATAGCACTTTCCACTCCTTAACCTCAGCTGGAGCTCTATTAGCTGTGTGACTTCACTCAAGTTACTTAATTTCTCTGAGCCAAATCTCCTGAAAAGGGGGGCTGAACTCTATCTTTAGGGTCTTTAAGAACATTAACTGAGATAACATAAGAAATGCTCACCCAGAGCTTAGTGAATGGTTATTGTTGGTGATAATGTTCTCTTCTAATTCAATCATCACAATAAATTCATGTTTCAATGTTATTCATCTTGTACAATTGGAGAAACTGGGGCCCAGAGAAGTCAAGCAGTTTGCCTGAGACCACACAGTACACAAACTTGGCAGAGCTAGGTTCCAGTCCCAGTGGATCTGACTTCAAATCTCCTGCTCTTTCTAGTATCACAGCATTCCTCACCCAGACTCCTCAACCCTCTTAACCACACCTCACCAGATTCCAGTGTCCTCCTTTCCTAAACCCAGTATGCTCCCCTCCCCCATGTCCAGCCAGTTGTGCTCCCTTCTTGYCCCCATCCCCATTCTTGAGTCTGTAGCCAGAGCCGCAGATTGGGTGCTGGAGACTGTGGGTAGAGCCAAGGGGTGAGTAAGCCTCTGTGGCCCCTGCCCAGATCTGGAGCTGGCGTCCTCCCCATCCCCATCTCCCCATACCAGCGCGGCAGCTGAGAGTCCTGCAGCCTCTGGAAGATGTGACAGTCATCGAGGGGGGCAACGCCACCTTCCAGCTGCGGCTGTCCCAGGAGGGTGTGATTGGGGAGTGGGCCCGGGGTGGAGTCCGGCTGCAGCCGGGGCCCAAGTGCCACATTCACGCGGAGGGCCACACTCACCGTCTGGCACTCAGTGGCCTGGGCCTGGCAGACTCGGGCTGTGTCTCCTTCACGGTGGATTCCCTGCGCTGTGCTGCCAGACTCACTGTGAGAGGTGCGGCYGATCGCCTGCGTGTGACCTCTGATCCTACTTACTACCTGTGTGGCCTCCACTGACCCTGCCTGTCCCCGTGTGGCCCTCACCGACCTACCTTGTACAGTGTGACTCCTCTGCTCCTTCCATTCCCGTGTGGCCCCACTGCCCCAGCCAGTGAGCTGAGCTCCCCACCTTGAGCATGGCCATGCCAGTGTGGTCCCTGTTGTCTGCCTGCCTGAAAATAGCCCCACTGATCACACCTGTCTCCTRAGGCCCTTCTGCCTGAGGCCACTCAATTCCTCTGATCTGCTGACTGTACCTAAGGGTGATTCCACTAGCAACCTTGCTGGAAAGCCCCCATTTTTTGCTTCCAGACCAATGTGTTCCCCACTGACCACACATAGATTACTMTAGGGTCCTCCACTGCCCAGTGTCTGCTGCTATCCAACTCAGCCAAGCATGGACTCCCCCACTAACCATGCCTATAGGTGAATTCATGGACACCTCTGTTCCAGTCTCCTCCAATCCCCTCTATCTCCCAGCCATGTCCCCTACTGACCACCTTAAATTGTGTCTTCCAGCTAGTAACTCTCACCCATTGACCCTATCACTCTGCTGTGCCCCCAATGACCAGCATCCCCCTTAAACTACCTGCACCTGCATGTCCCCCACTCAGTGGCCTTCACTCATCAATTTGTGCTGGACACTGACCCCTTATGCCCACATGTGTCCTCTTTGTCCCTGMAAGCTGGGTCATCTTGCCCTTACCCATGATCCTTGTGCACTGTCCTCCCTTTCCCACTCAGAGGTCCCAGTGACCATTGTGCAGGGGCCACAGGACCTAGAGGTGACAGAGGGAGACACAGCTACATTCGAGTGCGAGCTTTCCCAGGCCTTGGCTGATGTTACCTGGGAGAAGGTCAGAGCCCAGCCCAAGTGCAAACCTTGTCTGCATAACCACAATAACGATAACGGAAACAACTAATACCCACTGAGTGTGCCTGGCACTGCACTAAGATTGACATTACATTGAGGCCTTTAGTCTTCAAAACCTTTACTTTTTAAAACCTCAGGGGTAGGCCTTTTTTCCAGTGTTTGTTGCCTAGGGAGAAACTGAGCTAAGGAGATGAATTTACTTGCCCAAAGGCAGACAAAAGGGCTAGAGCCATAATAGAATCCAGATTTACCTAATTCTAGAATCCCCGCACATTCCCCATGTGATCTGGTTTCCTGAACCTGTGGTGCCCCTTCTGGGCCCTAATGTCTCTAAAGGGTTACACCTTTCAAAGAGGCTCTTGGTGAAGCCCGACCCTAGCTTGGGAACTTGGGCACAAGTAAACTCGCCTCCAGACTACTTGGCAACGACAGAGGGCGCCGCCCTCCAGAGCCGCGGTTTCCAGTACCCAGGTGAGCTCGGCCCGACTCTGCAACTCCGCCCCTAGGACSGGCGCGCGCTCACCCCCAGCCCCCGGCTCCGGCTCCAGGCCCTCGGGACGCGCCGCCTTCTCCAGCTGCGGCGCTGCAGTTCCTCGGACGCCGGGACCTACAGCTGTGTGGTGGGGACGGCCCAGGCCGGGCCGGTTCGTCTGATCGTGCGCGGTGTGTACAGGGCAGAGCGGTGGCTGGGCGCTCGACGGGCACTGGGACCGCTGACTGTTCTTTCCCCAGGGCCGACCCCGGGGGGCCTCAGAGAGGGGGCGTGGCGTGGGTGTGGCCGGGCACCTCCCCTTCCACTCAACCCCTCCTCCCGCCCCGCTCTGCCCCAGAGCGCACAGTGTCGGTGCTTTCCGAGCTCCAGTCTGTGCGCGCCCGCGAAGGCGACGGCGCCACGTTCGAGTGTACGGTGTCAGAGACCGAGACCACCGGGCGCTGGGAGCTCAGAGGCCGCCCGCTAAAACCCGAAGGCCGCGTCCGCATCCGACAGGAAGGTCTGTCCGCCTTTCTACCCTCTCTGACCTGCAGCCCCGCCCCAGGTTAGACAGACCCGCCCACCACGATAAGCTCCGCCTCTAGCTCGAATAGGCCCCGCCCCACCAGACAAACCGGCTTTCCAGGACTTTTCTCCGCCCCCAGCTCTGAGTCCGGTTCGCTCCGCTTCCCGCTCCGCATCCCAAGGAATTCCTTCCTAGTCCGAACCCACCCCGGGCCTTCTCTATCCCCACCCTCTCCCCTGAACCCTCCCCAGAGGCGGATCCGGCCTTGCTAGCTCCCCCCATCACCCCCAGGGAAGAAACACATTCTGGTGCTGAGCGAGCTGCGAGTCGAGGACGCGGGTGAAGTCCGCTTCCAGGCGGGACCCGCCCAGTCCTTGGCTCTGCTGGAGGTGGAGGGTAAGCTACTGAGGCGGGGCGACAGGGAAGGGGGCATCACCTCCGCTCTGGGACTGAGGGACTGGCGGCTGGTCCCAGTAACGCTGCCTCCCCTCTCTCTTCGAGGGCGCTCTTGGGGCGGATCACAGAGGGCAACGCGTTTCCTGGGGTAGAAGAGACTGTGGATTGGGGATGCAGAGGAATGGACTGTGGCACGAAGGGCTGATGCCTGGAGTGGAAGCCACGGGGAGGGATGCTGCGTGTCTCCTCCTGGGCCATGGGTGTTTCTATTAACTTAAGCTCCTGCCCGCCCCGCCACCCGCTCCCAGCATTGCCTCTCCAGATATGCCGCCGCCCCCCTCGCGAGAAGACTGTTCTTGCCGGCCGCCGGGCGGTGCTGGAGGTGACCGTGTCCCGCTCCAGGGGCCACGTGTGCTGGTTGCGGGAGGGGGTCGAGCTGTGCCCAGGAGACAAGTATGAGATGCGCAGCCACGGCCCCACCCACAGCCTGGTTATCCATAACGTGAGACCAGAGGACCAGGGCACTTACTGCTGCCAGGCCGGCCAGGACAGTGCCAACACATGCCTGCTGGTAGAGGGTGAGTAAAGCCCACTGGGCAGAGGTCAGAGGGGCAGGCCTTCGGACCAGGCCGGCAGGCCAGGCAAGAGGGGGCGCTTTGGAGCTGCTGGGCTGAGACACCCTATGAAAGGTTTTCCAGGACTTGAGAAAGGTTCTTAGCAGGGGTGTGTTGGATCTGGAGGTGGGGGAGGGGTGCGATAGATCACACCCAGGACYGAGGGGAGGGAGCCCTGATTCCTTAACAAGAGTGGCTTGGTTCAGAGCCAGTGTCCCCAGCTTCCTACTCCTCCTCTGTCAGGCTTCTCTTTACCCCCTCCTGCCTCTGGACCCTGTTTGGCTCTCCTGAACACCCCATTTTTTTTTTTACCAGTTCCTCTCTTTTCCCACTTACCCACCAAAAGCTGTACTGACCTCACCCTTCCTGCTCTCTGCTGGGCTGGCTTTTGCCTCTCTAAGCAAGTTCAACATCAACAGAGGGCTCCCAAGCTAGCTTCATTTCCTCCTCTGCTATGTAGGAGATGCCTTGCCAGTCTAACCCAAATTCCTGCATTCCCTGTACATGCCCTGCTCTGCCCCACCCTCAATGACCCCACCTCCCTGCCCCCATGACAACCTCCACAGAGGCTGTGAAAGGGTGGGGCACAGGCGGGGGTCCAGCTGTCCCTGGGTGGGTGCCCAGGCTCTGCCAGGGAGGAGGAAGGCAGCCTCTTCTCCCCCAGCCCCACKCGGTGTCATTCCTCTGCAGGTGACTAGCAGGACCCAACCAGGCAAGGCAGGTGCCCTCGGACAGCTTGAAAAGCRTGTGCCCTTACACAGGGCTGGGTGGGGTGATGGGAACCAGAGGTGTTGGGAAACAATAAAAGTGCTGTAGCTCATTTTCTTGCCTCTCTGTGTGCCATAGGAGGACAGACCTTGCCTGCAGCCCCTGTAGTAAGTGGCACAGGGCCCAAGGCTGCAGTGCTTCCAGCTTGGCCCACAGAAGTGCCAGCCACTGAAGACCACCACTCCTGGCAGAGGCCATGCAGTTTGGCACATTTATAAAAGATTGTAAAACAGGGCGGGGTGGGGAGAGACAGAAGCATGAGGTGTCCAGGGTGGCATGACAGACACCAGACATGCACCGTGCATTTAAGCCCCTCTTCCTCCACCCTCCCAACCCAGCCCAGAGCACCACCCCCACCCCCATCCCCTGACACTGCCCTCAGGCACRTGGCTTTGCAGAGGCCAGAGGACCAGGGTGAAGGGCGCTGTAGTCTGCCCTGTAGACAAGGACAGGAACCTTAGATGAGTGGTTGGGAGGCGGAGTGATGAGGGAGAAGATGGCCTCCTTCGTGTAGACATGCAGGAGAGTGGTCCATGGGACCCCAGCAGTAGGAGAGGAAGTGGGGCCAGCCCTAGAGAAGCCCTACCAATCAGAAATCTAAGGCAAGGGTCCCAATGTCCCCTCCAAGCCTACCGCCTCACACACACACATACATGGGTGACACACTCACAACCCTGAGCACACCCCAGTGGGGCTCACACCCCGAGTCCCCCAGGAATCCCTTGGGAGCTTGGGAGGGGACTTTCCCCTCAGGCCAGGCTTAGCCTGAGATAGATCTTCCTTCTAGTGGCCAGGCCAGTCCTCTCCAGGGAGGCGAGAGGGACAGCCGAAGGCCGTGGGGCCAGGCAGCCTGGGTGGTGGTCTGGCAAGCCTCCCCAAGCTGGCAGAGCTGGTGACTGCAGAGTCTAGACAAGTAGAGATACAGCTATACTCGCACTGGGGGTCCTGAGCAGGCTGTCAGTGGTCCGCGGGACCCATACTCATAGTCGGCATCCGTAGGTGAGGCCATGAAGGAGCTCAGGGAGCTCCCAGTCTGCCGGTCCCGGAAGCTCTGGATGTAGCTCTGTGGGGGAATATACACAGGGGTGAGAGTCCTGATGGAGACGCTTGTCTTGAAATCACTTCTCTCTGTCCTTCCACAAGCCTTATACTCCCCTAGACTGCCCATACCCAGAGTGTCCAGCCCTGAAAACCCACCACATATCACTTAAAATCCACATTTAGGACCTTTCTCCTGGCACCAGAGCTGTATCCATCCCACCCTTGGTTCAGGGGTTCTATTGGACAAACACCAGRCCTTCAAGACAGTGACCAGCCCTGGGGAATCATACTTAGACAGAGTCTACACATTCCCTTCTCCTCCATTCAGACTGCAGGGGCTCAAGGTGCTCACCGGGGAAAGGACATCTCCATTGAAACGTTTGATGGGCACTGGCCTGCGTCGATAAGCAGGGTCAGGGGGCCCAGGCCTTGGAGGAGCCCGGGGACCTCTGGGGGGAGCCCGAGGGGGTCTCTTCTTCCTCCGCTTCTCCTTGCGCTCTTCCTGCTGCCGAATTCGCATCAGCTGCACACGCCTTCGCTGCCGGCTGATGACCACTGTGGAGGTATGGGCAGAGCAGGGTCTCAGAGCCCACATGCCTCTTCTCCAAGCCCTCCCCTTTCTTCCCACCTGAGGTTTCAGGCTTTCAGATTCTCCTTATCTGTTATTTCTTACCACTACCCTGTCACTTCCTTTCCTTGTCACCCCCTCCAGATAGGACTTCCTGCAGTTACTTTCTTCCAATGGTCTTTATGTAAGATTCTTAGACTTCTAGGTACACCCTTCATGGCTGCTGTCCCTCTCCCAATCCTGAGCCACAGGTGACTCTCCCAGGCCAGACACTACCATCTTTCAACTAGACAGCCATGCTGCTTTCTCACTAAGGCTTGTCTCCTTCCAGGGCTTTCTACACTTAGCAGCAGAACAAGCATCTTGAACACTAAGTTACATTATATTCTTCCTCACTTTAAACCCTCCAATAGGAACTCACTGCCCTTCTAATAAAATCCAGAGTTCTCCTCATAGCCCAGAAGACCCACATCATCAGCCCAACTCCAAAACCTCACCTTCCACACTCCAGCCCTCTTGCTCAAATACACCCAGCTTGTTCCTTCTCAGGCCCCTGCCCTTGTTGTTCCCACTTCTCTAGCTCCTGGCATGGCTTGCCCCTTATACTTTAGGTTTCTCCTTACATGTCACCTCTTCTAAATAGCCTTTTCTGGCCACCTTAACTATAATCACTTCTTGTGTATCTCCTTCATATCACTCTGTACAACCAGAATTATCTTGTTGGTCTGCTTGTTTATTATCTCTCACCTGCCCTGGATTACACAGGTAAGGGCAGGAAACTTTTCTTTTTTCTTTTTCTTTTCTTTTCTTTCTTTTTTTTTTTTTTTTTTTTTGTTGTTGTTTTGTGATGCTGGGGATCAAACCCAGCGTCTTTGTAGTTGGGCAAGCACTCTTATCACTGAGCTATACCCCATCCCTCCTTTCTCTTTTACCTCTGCTATATTCTCCAGTACCTAGAATGGGGCTGACACAGAACCAATGCTCCATACATTGTTGTGGAATGAATAGTGGCTCATGGTCCCATCCTCCCAGACCCTGAGCTGGGAGCTCTGTAACCCCATTGAGGCCTTGTCCACAGTCCCTCAGCCCCCCACCCAACCCAAGCAGTCCCCTCTTCCCAGGCCCACCCTGGCCTCTGCCCTCTCACCTTCAGTGTGGGAGTCCCCCTCTGCCGTCACCCGCCACTGCACCAGAACGCCCATCAGGCTGAGCAGGGGCCAGAGTGCCAGCAAGGCCCAGCTCCGCCAGCAGAGGGGAGGCACCGGTGCGGCCCGCAGTCTTTCCACCACGTAGCGCCCCAGCAGCAGTAGCTCAGCAAAGTAGTCAGCAGCCGTGGCGATGAGTGCAGCACCAGTCACTGCGGTGGCCAAGGTGGTGAGTGGGCGGGGCCAGCGCAGCGTGAGCAGGGCACAGAGCAGGCCTCCCCCTAGCAGTAGCCCCAGTGGGCCCCACACTGAGCCAGGCTGGTAGTAGGGTGCAGAGCCCAGCAGGGCGGCAGCGGCGAGCAGCAGACCGAGCAGCAGCCCCACCAGGAAGAGGCCTACACTGCGCACCAGCATGGCCACCAGCCCGCAGAGCAGCCCAATGCCCAGTGCAATGCCTGCACTCGCCCCAGCACTCAGTTGTGTCTCCAGCACCCGCTCTCGGTAGCACAGCAGGAAGATGACCACTGAGCCAAACAGCAGCCCAGTGAGGAAGAGTACTGCCTTGAAGCAGCGGTAACCTAGAGGGGAACAGAGGCCAGTGAGGGGCCAAAACGAGTCACTGAGCTAGAGGAGGAATTCAGAGGGGTCAGGGACGTGGGAGCACAGTAGAATCGGTGATAAGGACACTAAGATCAGAGAATTGGGAATTACTGGGGTCATGAGGGCATCAGTGATGGAGTCATAGATCATTGACGTCATGAGTGAATTAGTAATGGGACATTGTAGTATTTGGGATCATACGGCTTAGAGAAATAAGTCATTGGGGCCACAAGGGGATCAGCAATAGAGTCACTGGGGTCTTTGGAGAGGAATTGTTCAAAGATGAGTAATACAGGAATCAGAACATGAGAGATGGGATCACACTGCTTCAGAAAGGTGAGATCTTTGAAGGGTCACAGRGCTTCAGAGACAAAGCATCATTGGAAGGTGACAAAGAGGACAGAGGTAGGTTATTTGGAGAGGAGTTCCAAAAGATAAGATCTTTGTAGGTCCCTGGGGTGGGAGTGGGGGTCAGGGGGATTGACAGAACTGTAATCATTGGGACTATTAAAGGGTTTCTGAGAGATAGGAACACTGAGACCAGACAAATGGGATCACTGAGATCACAGTGTGGGGAGGGGTGATCCACTAATGGGGATACAGGGATCAGAGAGAGAGGAATAACCAGGGATCAGATCTAAGAGTCATTGAGGGACTCAGAATGATGCAAGGTAATGAGACAGCTGGGAAGATGGTCATTAGGGCTTWTAATGGGTAGTAGGAAATCAAAGAGGAGTACAGGGTGAAATAACAATTGTGGGGTTTCAGAAGAAAAGGAGGTTATCTGGCCATTAAGCCCATTAGCAGTACCTGAAAGAGTGAGGGAGGTGTAGATCCTGAACAGGTGGGAAGATGGAAGTCATAGATGGGGGTCAAGGAAGTCAAGGAGACCCATAGAGAACAATAATAAAGAAGAGATTCAGTTCCAACAATGAGAGTAGGTATCAGAGTTCAGAAGGTTCTGGGGTCAGAGAGAGGAGTAGGGCTTAGACAAGGTCTCAGAGTCTAGGAAGAGAAGTAGGACATCAGGGCAACCCAGGAAAAGGAACATGAGGCCACACTGAGYACCTCGCAGAGGGAGTGGGTGTGGATAGTGGAAGGGGTGAGTTGATAACAGACTTTTTGGAGGCCCAGAACATGWTCTGAACCTTTGTGGGGAGTATTTCCTCCTGTAGTTATTCAGCCCAGGGTTTGGAGGGGAGAAGGGGAGGGGCCATCTGATTCCCACTCCATCTGTCTACCCATATTAGAGGCTGCAGAGAGAAGTCTTGCCACACCTCTGCCTAAACCTACCAGCCTCCTTTGTGCCCACTGGTTCCAGTAACTTATAATCATCCTTCCTGAGGCTTTCTTGGGGTCCCTACCTGCTTTTCTTTTTTGAAATCCTGTAATTATTGCTGTAGAACCACCAGACACTTACTCTAGGCTGCCACTAGCCCATGTGACAACTTTGTGAAAATTAGAAAAAGGTGTCCTGTTCTCTAGGAAGGGAGCTTTGTGCCAATGCCTCAAGTTTGGCAAGTGGAGCATGAGCTGGATTTCAGCCCCTTTTGCCTACTCAACTGAGCTCCCTTTTGCAATACCCAACCTATACAACTTTTCACAGCATTCCTGATTACTGGAGCCTGCCTTGTAGGCGATCTCCATGTGTGTGACTACCATCCAGCCCACTCTAATATGTATCA